TCTCAACAAGAAAGGCCCAGCACCAGTTGGTTTTTCTGGAGAATTCTACCAAACATTTAAAAAATTAATGCCAATCCTTCTCAAACTCTTCCAAAAAATTGAGGAGGAGGGAACACTCCCAAACTCTCTTTACAGGTCAGCATTACCTTAATACCAAAGCCAGATAAGGACACTACAAGAAAAGAAAGCCAGAGATCAATATCTCTGATGAAATGAAAACAGAATATCAGAGAGATATCTGCACTTCCCATGTTCACTGCAGCACTATTCACAATAGCCAAGATATGTAAAAAAACATAAATATCTATGTCTATCAACAGATGTATGAATAAAGAAGCTCTGTTATAAGCATGAGCTTGTGCACACATGCAGTGGACTAATTCGACCATGAGAAAGAAAGAAATCTGCCGCAACTTGCAGCAACATGGATGGAACCTGGGGGCATATTATGCTAACTGAAATCAGCCAGACAGAGAAAGACAAATACTGCATGATATCACTTAGTATGTGGAATCTAAAAAAATAAAATAAAATAAAATGTCAAACTCAGAAACACAGTAGAAAAGTGATTGCCTGGGGCTGGGAGGTAGGGGAAATAGAGAAAGGTTGGTAAAAGGGTACAAACTTCCAGTTTTAAGTCAGATACAGAAAGAAAAATGCTGAATGACAGCACTTCTTTGTGAAATCAAAAAAAGCCAAACTCAGAGAGTGAGAGTAAAATGGTGGTTGCCTGGGGAGGAGGTAGGGAAAATAGGGAGATGTTGCTTAAAGAGTACAAACTTCCAGTTACAAGATGACTAAGTTCTGGGGATCTTATGTACAGCATGGTGATTATACTTAATAATACTGAGTTATATACTTGAAAGTTGCAGGAAGAGTAGATCTTAAATGTTCTCACCACAAGAAATGATAATATCTGACACCATGGATGTGTTAGCTAATGCTTTGGGGGTAGGCATTTTGCAATATTTAAGTGTATCAAATCAACAGGTTGTATACCTTAAACTTATAAGTGTAACATATCAATTATATTTCAATAAATCTGGAAAAAATAAAACACAAACATAAAAATTTTACTTAAAAAAAAAGGATTTGGGGGCACCTGGGTGGCTCAGTCATTAAGCGTCTGCCTTCGGCTCAGGTCATGATCCCAGGGTCCTGGGATCGAGTCCCACATCGGGCTCCCTGCTCAGCGGGAAGCCTGCTTCTCCCTCTCCCACTCCCCCTGCTTGTGTTCCTGCTCTCGCTGTCTCTCTCTGTCAAATAAATAAATAAAATCTTTAAAAAAAAAAAAAGGATTTGGGTATTTCCAAGTGCTCTCTCTCTCTCAGAGGAGATATTCAAAGTTTTGAATTACTTTCCAAAATTATACATGCATAAAAAACAGATTCGAATTTAGTAAACGTATTGTTTTTAGTTACTATGTCATATTCAATTTGTTACCTGATGATATTTAGCTGTGGAAGCGAGGTAATGATTTCTTTTTCACATTGTCGGTCCTTCAGATCTCAATATTAGACTTTTTTTTTAAAAGATTTTATTTATTTTATTTGAGAGAGAGAGAGAGAGCACATGAGAGGGGGGAGGGTCCGAGGGAGAAGCAGACTCCCCGCCGAGCAGGGAGCCCGATGAGGGACTTGATCCAGGGACTCCAGGATCACGACCCGAGCCGAAGGCAGCGGCCCAACCAACTGAGCCACCCAGGTGCCCAGACTTTATCAGCTATCCGTATTTACTGAACTTTGGCTATGTGGCTAGGACTGAGTTGGGACCTGGATATAGAGCTTAGGGCAGACATTGGAATAGTAAGAGATTAAATTCTGGGTTCAAATTTTTGAAAAGAATAACTTCTGGGAATACTCTAGGGACCTAACAAAAGTAAATGCCCAAACGAACTAACCAATGGTTTATTTTTCTGAGATAAGTACATATTTAAAAACCAAGAAACAGTAGAGAAACCTAACTGAAATATATAACCCACTTGATTTATTTTTTAGCATGTCTAATTGCTAAAATTTAAATGTCATCCTGACTACCTGGCCCAAGAACTTAGGCCAGTGGATATTTTAAATAGTTATTACAGAGTATATTTTATCAATAGAAGTCATTTATTCCTGAGAAGCATACACAGATTATCCTATCTTTGATTTATATAAATTCAATTAAATCAGTGAAATAAATTCTGATTGTATATCACTATCTCTTTTTCCACTGGTAGTTCAATTAAGAACAGACCTGAGGGGTGCCTGGCTGGCTCAACTGGTAGAGCATGTGACTCTTGATCTCTGGGTTGTGAGTTTGAGTTCCACATTGTGTGTGGAGCCTACTTAAAAACAACAACAAAAACAAACCTGAAACTTCTGCTGATAAATTTTATTATTTTGTATTGTTCATAAAATCTATAGAAGCTGCTCCCTGAAGCTATCATGCTCTCGCCACAAACCTTAGATTACACAGTATGCTTGCATATGCCTTTCTCCCCTTGTCTGTCTGGTGTGCTTCTACTTACCTTTGAAGACTATTTTTTCTACACCTCTATTATAACACTTAGCAAGTTTTCTTTTATTTTCCTGTTTACTATTTTTTTTTCTACTGGACTGAGCACTCCTCCCATGCAGGGATATTGTCCTATCCCCAAGCATGATACAGTGTTCAATACTTAATAGGTCATTGGTAAATGTCCAATAATAAATGACATCTATGTCCAAAGATAATAAGGTAATTATAACATATTGTGATGTTATGTAAGCTTGAATATGACCAATTCCTTGATACATAATTTCATACATATGCCATGAAAAGATATCTGGTTCTTAAATGTACACATAAAATGGAAGGAGCCATTTTATATCAAAAAATTACAAAGTCACTTTCTCAGGAATCATAGGAAGATAAGCCTTAAATATGTTACCCAGAGTTGTTTGCATCAGTCTGAGAATCTGAAAAAAAAATGGAAAATGGAGAAAAGATACTTAACCAGAATACTCCTAAAAGACTGTCTTTTAAGCAGGCAAATATTCAGTAGTCTTTCTGAAACAAGATTCTGAAATAAAATCATTTTAGTATTTTCAGAAATATTGAAAATTACTTTAAAACAGGTGCCTTCAGGATATAAATACCCAACAACATAACTCTCTTTCCATCTAACTCATTTCCATCTTTCCTCAGGGGTGGGTCATTTAAATTAGCTTCATAAGAAAGACAAGACTCTTACTGCGAGGTGGTCACTTAGCAGTTATAGAAGGTACCTACAGGCTTCGGGGCCCAATTACATGCTGAACTTTACAAAATATTGTCACTCTGAGGAAGTGACATCTAAGCAGATATCTCAGTAATAAGAATGAGCCAACTAGGATGGAAAGTAGGGGACAGAGTGCCAGGCAGAGGAGACAGCACAGAATAACATACATAAAGACCCGGAGGCAAGAAAAGCCCTAGGATATCTGATTGGAAGGGAGCCAGTGCGGTTGCAGCATAGGAGACAGGTAGGGAGGGCAAGAGGTGAGTTACAGAGGTAGGCAGGGGCAACCAGCCCAACCCCGACTGAGGTCTGGAAAGGAACTTGGAATTTATTTGAAAAGGATATTCAAATTCACAGGTGACTGCCTGGAACTGTAATTACTACCAGTTCCCTACTTTCCATTAGATACAACCCAGGACCAACAGCTATGCCCAGTCATCTTCAGAGGCCACACCTTTTCTCATAGGTAGATCCACCAAGGACACCAAAATAACATTCAGTTCCCTGGAGAGCACAGCAGTTCTTAGAAAATAGGAAGTGCCTGATTTTAAGCAATAAATATCATCATCAACGACAACAGCTACAAATGATGATCTCAACCTTGAATGCTTGAAATACCATTGAAGTGTGCCCTTTATATGTTTTCTTCCAACTCTGAACAAGAAACACATTTTCTCCTAATAATCTCATTTTCAGTCCCAAACTTATGACTATTTCACTCCTTTGGATCAGATTAAATTTAAATGACTATATTAAGGTACAAAATTATGTGTACCAGGTGTTTTAAGTCCTTGTTCAATAAGTTTGGAGCTGTTCTCGTACCACCTCCTTAAAACAGTTCTTCCAAATGTTTTCCTCCGGGATCTCTGGTTTTAATTCACCTGGTAGAGTTCTTTGTCTCATTCTATAACCTACCCTCTCCCCCATGGGAAATCTGGATTCAAATTATTTTGCTGCTCTCATTGACCCACTGAAAGAATTTTTTTTCAGGTGGCTTTTCCCTATTTATTTATTCATGTATATTAGTATAGATTCCCGGTTTTTATGTTATTTATAATCCATTAATTATTTATTTTGATGCTAAAATTACCCCAGCTTTAGCTATTGGGAGATCCTTCAGTCTGTCACCTGTGTCCTTTTGACCAGTCCCCTCATTTTTGAGCACTTCCTTATCTTCTAGCACAACAGACTAGTCTTGTACTTTACTTGCCCCAGCCTTGGAATCACCTTTTTCTCCAAAGAGCCAGCAGAGTCCTGGTTCTTTTTATTGGCAAATGAAATTTGGAAACCAAGACTTGGATGCTAGATATACTATTGGCTTGTCCCTGATTGAGCTATAGGAATTTATTATCTTTTTTTTCACCACGTATCAGCTAGAATTTACATTCCATTGCAAGTCTGGCTCTAGAAGACAGTGGATTTTTATTATCTTTCTCAGTATCTCCACTGTGAGTCAGAGTGGGCCAAGGACTTTGCACACACACACACACACACACACACACACACACACACACAGACTCATCACATTGAAACTATTCCGGGTTTTAGTTTGGGATCCTGCAGGAGGGAGCCGTTAGTCACAGGCGTGCAGTACAGACCTGTGTCCTCCAGAGTCCGCTGTGCTGCTCCTAGCGCAGCCCCGGAGCTGTCTCTAACCTCGAGCGTCTGCAACACTTTGCAAGGACACCGAAGAGGAGGCACGTCAGCGCTCCGACTTCCTCCCGACGCCGCCTCTGATTGGCTCCTGGGCGTGTAAGAAACCGGTGAATGAGCCGCTGACCCTTACAGAAACTTGCTGGAGGTCTTTGCGTGGCCCAGACCTTTCCTCCGCGTCCACCCGCCGGCAAGCCAAGCCGCGGGAGGATGAGGTCGTCCTGTGTCCTGCTCACCGCCCTGGTGGCGCTGGCCGCCTATTACATCTACATCCCCCTGCCCAGCTCTGTGTCCGATCCCTGGAAGCTGATGCTGCTGGACGCGACTTTCCGGAGCGCACAGCAAGTGGTGAGACGCAGCCCAGAGCTGATTCTCTCTCCCTCCTCTTAAGTAATATTTGGGAAGGGGGAAGCAAGATTTCCAGACCGCGTCCCACGAGAACGCATATTTTTCTAACGCAATTAGACGATCAATTTTTAAGGTGGTTCAGTCTGGCGTTTTCAGGGTGTCTCGTTTGCCTCCTTGCTAGCAGCGGGCTAGATCTGTATCTTCTCCTCTGCGTTGGTGACCGTGAAGGTGAAGTTCTTGAACAGAATTTGACAACTGTTTAACCCTTCGTCTGTCTTAAATATCCCTCCTCTTTCTTGGTTCGCAGTGTCAAAAAACAAAAAACCCACCTTTCAGCCTTTTATAAACCACCCTTCCCCATTTTCCTTCTTCTGCAGGGGCCAGCAGAGAGTGAGTTAAATGTTTTAGGAAGGCTGTGGGGAAAAACAGGCTCTGATTCCGGGTAGTGTGCAGCCACCTTAAAAGCGGAAGCGGGCACCGGCGATCTTCCGAGGTCCCCCGACTGTGGAGCTCTCCATTCCAGGGGGCAGCAGGCAGGGATCCTGTAAGCACTTGAGTAACCGCGGAGATCTCCCGTTTTCTGCGTGGTGCTTATCAGCTCAGCGCAGGAAGGAGGCCAGGAGGCCTGGCTGCCTGGCTGAAGACAAGGCGGTGGAGGGGGCGGCAGCGGCGTTTTGCATGATGCACTTGTTTTCCGCCTGCCCTGCAGCATTTATTTTCTCTCCTTGATTGTCAAGGAGATGATCTTGACCTGAGCCAAGATACTCCTACTTACCCTTGCAGGGTAACATTTCTGTCTACTGTATCATGGGTATGGATTTCTTTTCCCCGTAGGCCATACAATGTAACTGTCTGCATTTTATTCTATAGTAAGAGACATTGATTTTAGTGCCAGAGAATCTAAAATCTAAACTACAATCTGCAGCCAAGGCTGGGCCCTATTTTCTAACCCTTCTTAATCTCAGGTTATTTTTGTAAGCTCCTTTTTTTTCAGGAGTGACTAGAGAAAGAGGGGGAAAAAAATCATGAGTTTTCCTAGAGGGTTGATGTTTCTTTTCCCTTTTCCATTCTAATTGTGTGTAAAATCACAGAGTCTCTGAGGCTTTGTCCTATCACAAAGCCCCTGAAGTAGGGTATTGTAGCACATTCCTGCTAAGGGTTTGTTTTTCTTTCTTTTTTTTAAATTAATTTTTAAAAAGATTTCATTTTTAAGTAATCTCTACACCCAATGTGGGGCTCAAACTCAAACTCCAAGATCAAGAGCTACATGCTCCACCTACCAAGCCAGTCAGGCACCCCAGAGATTTGTTTTTCTTAAATCCAGCCATGTTTTCCATTCCCTGTTGTCTCTTAGGAATGGTCTATGAAGTTATACAGCCCGTTCCTTCCCTTCTGTTGACTGCAATGCTGACATGGTGGAAGAATGACCATCCCCTTCTCTAGCATTTGTCCCAAGAAAGGTGGTCTTCTTGTAGGAAGCCCTGAAGTCCCTCTCTTCCTTCAGAAATTATGTAATTTAGGAGTGATATCCTTTAAAGTTCTGGGGTACAGTGGTCTTTACTGGGGTGGGTTATAATGGCCTTCAACAAGAAGAAGAATCATAACTAGTTAGAAGAGTAAGAAAAATGTGAAAAAAGAATCAAACCGCTCTGTTGGCTGCAGAGATTATTCTTAGTTTTCAGGTCACCAAAGAAGTCTTCCCCATCATGTGTCATTGGGGAAACGCCAGGTTTGGAGAAAAGCCATTCTTCCCCAACTATAGGGTATCAACCCATCAAAGGCAAGGCCGTTGTACCCTATGATCCTCTATATAGAATGTGCCCTCAGTTGATGTTTGGGACTGATAATGTGTGTAAAGCCAGGTCATGGAGATAAATGAGGTAACCAATTATCCTCACCTGACACTGTGGCTTGAGAGTGGGTTTGCCCAGAAGTGGCTCTCATCACTTTTCTTCTAAATTGTGAAAGATCAGAAAGATCATTCAGGGCACATGGTAGCATATTCTACCCAGTAAAGCAATTTATTAATGTCACTTCAAATTGTGCCGGGGAAAAGGCGATGTGACTTGACACATTGTAAGTGAATACGAACGTGACTGCTAGAGTATGCCTCCCTGAGTCCCATCCCAACCAGGCTACTTACTGGCATCGAGGCCAGGAAATTTACTAACCTTCTCTGGTCCTCCATTTTCCCTGTAAAACAGACTTAACATCTACCTTACAAGGTTGCCATGAGGTTTAATAATGTATTTAAATGCCTGGAACTTGTAGTTATTCCTCTAAGAGTTGTTCCAAAGGTCCACTACGGATTGTAGAGAAAATCTGTGGGATTGCCCAACTTTGTTGAAACAATAAAACAAATGTCAACTGGAAGGGATTTATCTCTTTGAAACCTGGGGAGCTACCACTAAATTGCATGGCATAAAGTTTGTTACCCAAGCAATTTTCGTTAGAATTGATTTGCTCAATTACAAAAGCCGCCTAAGCTACTTCAGAGGTGAAGCTTGGCCTACTTCTTAGCACAGTAGGCACGTGCCCAGCATCAAGAAATATGAATGCTGCTTTTATTCTTGTGCAGATGAGTCAGATTATTGAGATTTTATTGATTGTACTTTTTTTTCCCTTGGGATCCTCCAATATTACCTAAGATGAAGCTACTTGAGATCCTTCTCTAAAGTCATCTCCAACACAGAAGCTGCATTAAAATCGTCTAGGGAGCTTTAAAAATCCTGATGCCCGAGTTCTGTCCTATACCAGATTTATTCAGAATCTCTGGGAGGTGAGACCCGGGCTTCAGTTTTAAAAGCTCCCCGGGTGATTTCAATGTGCAGTAAAATTTGAGAACCACTGTTCTTTAAGGTAAATCAAATGCATTGCAGATCAGATAATATATATTCCTTAAATTGCACTAGTTATCTTGCACACATGTGGCTGGAAATTAGCCCTTTTACATTACATGGATTAGTTTATCAGATTAGTTGGTTGACACTCAACTGACTGAGCCACCCAGGCGCTCCAGCACTGCTGTTTCATGAGAAATATGGGGGACCATTCAGCAACCTTATTTTGTTTTGTTTTATTTTGTTTTGTTTTGCAGTATCATTTAAAAAAATGGAAGCAAAAAATTAAGAGATTATATAAATTACGGAACACGCATTTTTTGAATACTATACAGTCAAAACATTTAGGTTGTAAATAATGTTTAAAGACCTACAAAAGATACGTACTTTATGTTAAATGGGAAAATGCAACAAAACGGCATATATGCCATTATCCCATTTAAAATACTTATATATACCAAAACATATAGTTCTGTATATCTACATGCCAAAACATATAATTATGTATATCTATATATCAATTTATCTATACTTAGAGAAAAAGCAGAAGGGTATGATTTAAAATGTAGTGCTTTTTTTTTTCTGGGCCATCTTCAATTTTCACTTCTATATATTCTAGCTTTTCTACAATGAATGTGTAGTAATAAGAAATTATTAAAAAAAATTTTGTCGGTTTCCTACTTCTAAAGAGGAATTGATGTGCACACACATACCAATATGATTACTATTTTAGTAATTGTTCTCTAAAAAAATCAGATTTCTTTAAAAAAAAAAAAAGTATCCTGGATCCCCTGATATAGCTCTCATAGTGGCATACTCCCTGCTTAGTCATTTAGATGTGACACAGATGGAAAGTGGTTTTAGGGAGATGCCAAAATGACCTAAAAGAACCTATAGCCTGGTAGAATGGAGAAGACATGTTAATATATAGCTATTAAAAAGGTACTTGCTGACAGGCATTACTGAAGAGGCACAGTTCCAGAAGCTCATAGGAGGGAGAGGCTTTGTAAGGTTTAAAGGAAGGTAAAGATGGCAGCTAAAGGCAATAGGTTATCTGAAGGGAGTTCAGAGCAAGGGCTGGGCTTGGCTTACCTTGATCATTTCCCAATTTACTAATTCCTCTACTATGTATCTTTTTTTAAAAAATTGTATTTACTTATTTTAGAGAGAGAAAGAGAGAGCGGGTGCAGGTGGGGGAGGAGCAGAGGGACAAGCAGACTCCGAGAGGAGTACAGAGCCTGACGTGGGGCTTGATCCCATGACCCCGAGATTGTGACCTGAGCCAAAATCCAGCGTGGGACGCTTAACCCACTGAGCCACCCAGGGCCTCCTCTACTATGTATCTTTTTGATGACATAATGTAAAACAGGTGTTTTTGCTGAATATTTCCCCCTGTTTCTTATGGGTGACAGTGCCTTTGAACCAGTTGAACAAGGTTTTTCATCTTGTAAAATGTCTCCAAACATCAAAATGCAACGTGACTTCACCTGGAAGTTCCATGCAGGAATGTACTCTCGGGCTGTGTAAGTGTGGTTTAAATCCGGCTCAGCTGGATGCCACGCAGAACTCCAATTTGCTAACCTTTTTCATAACCATTCATGAACTGGAACGTTTACTATTGTCAGGTAAATTTAACTCAAAAACATTAGTAAATGCTAAGTTTTGTCCACCGCCTTCTAGACTTGCTGTGATACATATTTCTTCATTTAATTAGAGATTTCACCAATCACAATAATTTTTAGCTAACTTGGTGGAATTTTCATAAACACCTCGCAGCAGAAATGCTTTAAGAATACTTTAGGGGCAGGGCACCTGGGTGGCTCAGTCCATTAAGTGACCAACTCTTGATTTTGGCTCAAGTCTTGATCTCCGGATCATGGCATCGAGCCCTGCATGAGGCCCTGCACTCTGTGGGGCATCTGCTGGAGATTCTCTCTCTCCCCCTCTCCCTCTGCCCCTGCCCCCACTCTCTCTGTCTCTCAAATAAATAAATAAACCTTTTAAAAAATTAAGGTCGGTTTGATTCAGCTACCAGGTGTGTTAGACAATGCCTAATTTATAGCTTTCCTTGTTATTTTTCCTAGACCTCTATAAATATAGCCCTCAGCACAAGAATGCTATATTACTTTATTTTAGTGGGACATTCTATTTCTAACATGT